GGATAACCTCCCATCTGTCCTTGAGGTGGATAACCTCCCATTTGTCCTTGAGGTGGATAACCACCCATTTGGCCTTTTTGTGGGCGACCACCCATTTGGTTTTGTGGCGATTGATTAGGATAGCCAGACATCCTAAACCGAAAACAAAATATTAAATAATCGATAAGAAGCTTAACATCATGCTACCCCTAGTATCCTGTTTGTTTATATGCCTAAACCGGATGACTCTTTTTAAGCTCTATACTTGTTCGTTTCTAAGGCAAGAGCTTTCAGGGAAGAGGGTGGGGTGGAGACGGTGAATGCGGTATAAATCACATAAATAAAGCCTAATGAAGCTAAGTGGTTTTAAAAAACATAACGAAAAATAGATTAAAGCATAATTAATTTAAAATTGTGGATGGAGAAACCCACATATACGTGCACCAACTTCAGGCCAAGTACACTAAATGAAATCGTAATGCCAATGCCAACCTTATATCCAATAGGAATAGGTCTTTTAAGTCGTCGTCCCATACACCAACCACGGCCATCCACGTGATTAATCACAAGTTCATAAGAAAGTGCATTAGTACTCCAGGCTAGGACAAATTAGCAAACCATACAATGACCTATTCCCAATTCATCATTACATGTGTATTTCAATTTAATTCATATTTTTATTCTTTAGTGAATTTGAATTAGCAGCAAATCTCCACGTGGTGCACCCTGGGCAACGTGTATTCATACTGCAAAAAGTCTATTAACTGGCAGTTGACTTCTGACTACAAACTACTCTCACCCCATTGTATGTCATATTCGACTATTTCCACAGTACTCACCTCACCTTTTTCCACTTTTCTGTCTGTCTCTTTTACATCTTTGAAACTCTCTTCTGTTCCCCCTCTCCCTCTCGACTTATTTCACTTTGATGTTCCTCCTCCTCTGTGAAGCCTGAGGTCAACTAAAGGGCTAATGATAACTTTCACAACGCCTGCCATTTGATATAAATAAATAAATATGTTGCACGCGTTTATAAGTAGTTTTAGCGCATTGTCAGTTTCTAGTTTCATGAAAATGGTAAACTGATAAAAATAATGCAGAAACCGTATGGCCAATTTAGCGTGATGGCATTGACTCCGGTTAATCCGCATTTGATTTTACAACATGGTGACTTTTCAACCATACATTTTTTTGTTCAAGATCGATGCAAAGACAGACTTCATTAATGAAAGCAAACTCTTCACAATGCCTAAATTTCATCCCCCATCAAACTTGTTCTCCCAGTTCCGCATCTGTTTGGAAGAGTGGAAAGATGACCATTACTGGTATTAAAATAGCTTTGATGTTGAAGGGTGTGCAGAGAGTCTGTTCTGACTCTTATTCAACAACCATTTCACGTTCTAGAGTTCCCACTTCTGGGGAGCATTTAACTCAATTTAATTTAATTTGAAAAAAATCGTGGCTGTCTATACACTTTTCTACGACGAATCGTCTCTGCCCCAGAAATTTTGCAATCTTAGGTCCATAAATCAGATTACTGCCTGAAACTCCAAAATCACAACCTCCACCCCCCATTAACTCTTGTCATTGCCTTTACAAACCCAATTTCTTAGTAAATATTCACATTGTTGCAATGATTATTACAGCTGTCATTTCTGACGTAACAGCTGACATTACTAGAATCTCCGCTCATCTCTTTGTGGAATCGCATCGATTCGAGCCGTCGTAACTAACGTGATGGAAGTGCCACAGTAGTATATAATAAGAGATATTGAAAATTTGGTGTGTGCGAGAGACTTACCTCCACGTGGTGCACCCTGGACAACGTATACTCATATGAAAAAAGTCTATTAGTCGGCAGTTGGCTTCTGACTTCAAACTACCGTCATCCCATTGTATACCATATTCGACCCCTTTCACAGCACTCATCTCACCTTTTTTCCACCTTTGTGTCTGTCTCTTTTACATCTTTGAAACCCTCTTCTGTTCATCCACCTCCCCTCTCGACTTTTTTCACTTTGATGTTTTCCACCTTTGTGTCTGTCTCTTTTACATCTTTGAAACCCTCTTCTGTTCATCCACCTCCCCTCTCGACTTTTTTTCTCTTTGATGTTCCTCCTCCCCTCTGTGAAGCCTGAAGTCAACTAAAGGGCTAATGATAATTATCAAAACGCCTGCCATTTGATATAACTTCATAAATATTTTAAATTTAAAAAATTGTCAAGTTGTACAAACTATCCAATATTTTTATTTGTACTATTTATTCTATGTGTTGCGACATAATATGACATGAGTGATTTGGAAAAAAGATGTATCTTGCCCAGAGCGATTAAATTACATTGACAAATGTATAGAACTTACTGTATTTTACAAGAGGTCACCAAATTGTGCTAAATTAATGGAAACTCTTACTAAATGATTCCATTCACTTTAAAAATTATGCCAATCAGAGGTGAAACTGGTAGTATAATCGAATGATTTTTAAGGTGTATAAACGCTTCAAATAGATCAAGCAGTTGCGTGTTAAGACTCGTGCCCTATCCAGAAATCGGTTCTGGCCGGAGGGTAACACGTGTCGATAGTGCGGGAGTTCGTTTACCTATCATATTTCAAAGGTGAGTGGTTATGGACTAGCCGACGGTGTATAAAACTGCATATATCATAGAGGCCTATTCTATAGTGGAAAGAGCTATCAACTAAGATTAGAGCAAAGACAGAGACTGCCCTCATTAAAAGAATCCTTCTACGAGTTATTTGCACTTATCTACCTCAAAGGCTGCTCGGAGCACTATTCAAAGAGCGATGTTATAACAGATGGGTGCTAAAGTTCACTTTGAGAAGAAATTCTGCCTCGAAATCGCAAAGTTGAGGATTAAGCTCAAGGGCAGGTCTTCGCAGAAAAGAGGGGATATCAGAAAAAGTGTCTTTGAAATCTCAATTGCCAAGCGTAAGTTTCGACGTATCTACAAATGCGTCTGGATTAATTATGGGGGTTAGTAGAATAAAGATGAGCATTTTGATGATGCACGCCTGTTCTTGCTTCATTAAACATTAAACCCAATTAAAAGCTCTTTGAGTTTGGGGGCGGGGAGGGGGGGCGGGTGAATTCACGGTAGCATGAACTCTTGTCAAATAAAGGTTTTACGAGATCAATCGCCTCAAACACAAAGATTGCCATCAATTTCATGAATCATTTGTGCCTTTGATTAGTTCTAAAGGAATTATTTAAAAAGGAGATTAGTTCAGGATTAAATTAGAAATTTTCACTGAAAAAAAAATTTGGGTAGAGCTCGACTTGAAACAGCAGCTAATCTGACACTTCTGGATAATCGTCTATCAACCTATTTATTCATTAAGTGAACCTGTATAAATTAATTTATTTACAGTTTTAATTATTATTACCTTTACCGAAGGAGGTTTATTCCATTCAATCAATGTTTGGTAAGGACGGAGACAGACAGACAGACAGACAAAAAATGAATCCAGTTACCAGTAGTAAACGATAAACAGTTGTAAAGCTTAGTCCTGTTATGGAAATAGTAATCAACGGTTTTGTCTATATTCTTGAAAATTTCAATCAACGTTTTCATCTTCAGTTCGATTAAAGCATTTCGTAAGTTTTGCCATATTTCAAAAAAACTACCATTAATACTGATCTATGGAAAACTGGGTGAATGTGGAGTATTTTTCACCGTAAATTCTCACTTGATCAACTCTCCACAGGTTTATTTAGCACTAGAAAATGTGCCAACAGTCGGGATGTAGATCTGGCAAATCGTGTAAAATGACTTGGAAACTCACAGGTGAAAGATCAGAAAACCAATGGCATGACCCGATAAAGCCATAAAGAAGATGAAGAAGAAGGAGGAGTAAGACCCTTTCCAGATTAAGCCTTTTTCTCATTTTTTTAAATAGGTCTCTATTTCAAGTAACATTGTTCTATTCAGCATAAAGCGAACTTCTACTACTATAATTGTAATTGTATAAAAAAATTAACCCAATATGCAAAAATAATAAAGTAATTTTACAAAAAGCATGACTGTCGCCGAAACAAATTGAGAAGTTAGCCGTCGACTAAGGCAGTGAACATATTTTCGTAATGTCCTGAAGTGTCTTCGTTATTTGCTTAGGCAAGAGTCTTTCCAGACTTACGTCTGGAAAATCTTTTTCACAGCAACTTTCTTGTTAGTGCTACAGTTGCCCCTAAATGACGAATAGGACAATGGACGTGTTTCCCACCAAATGAATAAAAACAAGCGACTTTGCGCTTTTGGACTCAAAGTTGAAAGCAAAAGAACGACACATTGACACCTCTCTTTCCCACTTGTGGAAGTCATGCAACAGTGAGGCATGCATTTTATGCGTTAACCTAAATCAACGTATTATTAATTCGTGATGAAACATAATGTTGTCTTTTAGTCCATGAGATTACCCCAAATGTGCCAGTTGTTGAGTCAGCCTCAACGAATGGATTTTGAGTGCCTCAAGTGCGCTGATCTGGGTTCGTTAATCTCCAACCACTGAGCCATCTTAATTAAGCCTATAGAAAATTTCAGTAACATTTATCCAACTTCTGTCCACTATTATCTGTTTCACAACCTTTGTTTTTCGTTGACACCATATCAATGACTCATTGACCATGTTCTGTCCTTCGTGAAATTAATAGTCTTCATCTCCTCTGCTTGAAAGCAAGTAATGCAATAGATTAGTGGGGTGGAAGAATTGTAGACCCCCCCCCCCGTGGAGAGAAAGCATGAAAGACTGAATGCACATATTCTGCCTGCTCATTACTCAACCCTACTTTCATTTATTCTCTAATTATCGTGTTATAGTAGTTTGTCTCGAGCGGAGGAAGACAAATATGGGGGTGGGTGGGTGGCTGGGTGGGTGGGGGGGGGGGGGGGGGGCGAGACACTCGTTCTTTTGTAAGAGCACTTCTTATATGTTCAATGAAAGGTACTTTCATTTCTTGAGTACTGCTTTAAAGTTGAATGACGTGAGCTGGGCATGACTCTCATTTACATAATTTGTAGACCTTTTAGTATCATAAAACCTTCAAAGGTTGGAGCTACACTCCGTAATGTTTCTGAAATCTTGCACTAAATATCATACGAAAACCGAAATTCATGAACAACCTCCAAAGAAAAAATAA